TTTGTGTAAATTTTCCTTGTCCAGAGCATTTCTGAGCAGGTTCTGTTGAAGGCATTTTGTTTTGATTCTTGCTCATGTAGCTACCTTTACCTGCACTATAAGCTTGAACAAGAGTACTTCTCCCTCAGGGGTGCCCTTTACAGTGCAACACTTCCCCCCCAGCAACCGCAACCAGGCTTTTCACATACAAGCGAAGTTAATGTGTGTGAGGTCTCTCTGTTAGAGCCTCAGGGAGATACACATCATCTAGTAGATTAGATAGAAAGAAGATGAAAGCAAGAAAACAAATCAGAGAGAAGAAGAGAGCTGTGGTGTGATTTTCCTTGCTTAGAGTTAGCAGGAGAAATAATTTAAAATCCAAAAATGAGGAAGCAGGGGAAGCAGAAGAAAGTCATTGAAAGTATCTGTTAATAACAGACACACTGAGAGAGAGACAGAAATGGAGGTTGAGAGGGAGTCCGGCCAAATGACAGAGGCGTGTTTGTATTCTGATTAGACTGAGCCAAATGGAGGTGGCTAAACCAGTGGAGATAACAACAAAGACATCTCTTCACTCGGCACAAAGCTATGAACATCTTTTCACGGTCAATCGGAGGAGGCATTCTTTTGTTTTGATAAAATAAATAAATAAATCAAATCGGGGGTGTGTGTGTGGGGGGGTGAGGAGAATCAGTCTTGCTGGAGCCATCAATGCCACACAAAGAAGACTGTTCATCTCATCTTAAATGAAGGAGATGATCACGTGCCTATTGGTTCTGCATTCTGTGAGCATGTTCCATATGCTTAAGTGAGGGACTTTTTTAAACTATGTTATAATTAGGTTCTTATGAACTTGGATTTTGAATGTCTATTCACTCTCACCGTTGCTGCCAAAATGTGATGCACTCAAGCTGAATAAACAATGATCTGGCCACTTTGGGTTAAGACAGGCTTCCTGGCATGGGTGTGCCCGAACCCTTTTAGGTTTCTCATCTTTGGCGACAGTAAATAGATCATACCCATGGCAGGGCTGATCAGAGAGGCTGGGATACAGCCAGGGTTGCCAGGCAAGGGAAAACTTCAACACCAATAGATTCTCTGATGAGGTAACTGCATCACACAGAGAGTAAGGACTAAGGGCTATCTGTTTAGTCCTCTTTCCATCTGACTCATCCATGCATGCACATGAACATCCACTAAACTCTGGCTGCCAGAGGCATAAGGGAAAACACAACCATCCTCGAGAAACAAATTAAAAGCATCCGATGGTTGGAAATATTCCCTCCTCTGTGTTGGTTGAACCAGAAAGCAAAGCCTGTTGTTATTTTTCTGTAAATTAAAAATATAAATGCTTCACAGCATGAAATTCCCAGACACTAAATTAAAACACAGAGTAAGAGAAACAGGAAGATGCAGTGAGAGATTATAATTTAGAGAAAGAAACAGGAGTTGTCTAAAAAGTGTGAAAAGAGAGATTTGTTAATCTAACTGTTCATACTGGTGATTGTGCTTTTGTTCATTTCTTTTTGGACTCATGCTTCTTGCCTTGTCTTGCCCTCTCAAACAGGAGTTTCTGGTTTTGAGTAAGATTTGTGCAATGACGCCAGTGGCTTTGCTGTCAGGCTTATCTTATGGAATATTACACCAGGCTGACCTCACTGTCCAAAAAAAAAAAAAAAAAAAGCTGATCGTGTTACCCCAGCTCCGATTACATCATCTTTAAGCCCCGCACAATCAACCACCATCCCCTTATTTAAGATGTATAATGCCTGTACACAGATTGAACCCTCTAATCACAGGACGGCAGTCTGTCAAACTGGTAATTATGAGAATATGAACAAAGCAGAACAATACGACTTGGTAGTAGGCAAACTGAGTCGTGGTCTGGAAATTCCTGACAGAGTGTTTATGTTCTGGAAGAGCTGTGGCGAAAGTGGACAACACTAATGTTGTAATGACTGTGACAATAGGAGTTCTGTGTCTGTAAAACATTGTGTATGGTGAGGGCCAAGATTTTTTTTTAATTCTAAATAATCCTGAATGACCTTGAAAACAAGCTCTACTCAGAATGTGAGCTAATGACGCCCTCTCCAAGTGACCCGTGTTGAGTCTGTAAGAGGTCATTGCACAGTGGAGCTATGGAGAAGGACAGCGGAAAGGGGAGCCAGACTGTGTGGCTCAGATATAACGCAGAGGAAAGAGGAAGGGAATGCCAGAAATCAAGAAGTGACAGAAAACAAGGGAGATGGAGAAGAGGTTGTGTTTTTTGTTTCTCTCTGTGGATTATGCTGCCCTAATGAACCCAGCTACCAAAAGTCCGCCACAGGGCAACTAGGGCTTCTCCTGTTTTTATTATATGAAGACAGATAGTTCCCCTCAGACCTCACTTCAACTTTAAGGATAGTAATGTGCCCCATGTGGCTACATCTCCATTCACATGCAGCCTCGTTCCAGGTTTTCTCGGCCACTTAAACCCATTTTTCCCATAAGAATTAAACCTTTAAGAACTGTTGCTTTTACTTAAATTTTGTCTAATGTCTACTGCGTACCAGTAAAGCAATTTTGGACTCCTTTGAACAAATTGCAAATTCTTGGTTGATATGATGATGTTCAATTGTTTCCTGTACACACAGGCTGTATTGTTCAAAATGAAATAAATTGCAACAATTTGTGAGGAGGAGGAGCTTGCTCAGATAAACTTTTATGAGGACAGCAGCCTCCTGTGAAAAAGGAAGACGAGTAAGGATGTGTACTAGTGTAGCAAGGAGAAGACAACTGAGCACAGAAAGATGCAGATGAGTACAAAGTATAGTTATGGCATATACAGTTAATCTCTCAATTATACCTTTCTGCTCCTATTGAAATTAATGCAGCCGTTTTTATTATTTTTTCTGTAATATCATTCACAGATAGTCAAAATGTTTTTAAATAGAAATTGGAGTAAAAATAGAAGTTGGATAATCCTAGCTGACCTGGGATCAAACTGAAGCACCCTGTCTAGACGTCAGCATCACTTTGAGTAGCATCCCACGCCTCTGTCTCTTTCCCTTTCTCTTTGCCTTTTTGCACTTCCCTTCTCTTCCTGTCTGCCCTCATTTTCACAGCTTGGTTCTCACAAATTTCTGCCCTTTGCATCTATCTTTTTCTTTTTGATCTTTGACTCTCTGTTTTCTTATTACTGTCGGTTTCAGGCTTAGGTGTGGTTATTTGGTGGTGAAGATGACAGTGAAAGCTGGATGTGGTAAAATGCCCATGCAGACAGATTGAAAAGAATGTATCCCACTAACATGCCAAAGATAACTACTGAGGTTCTCCTTCTTTCATTCAGCTGTTTGTACTCATATATTTTCTGTCCGAAAATGCAAGTGGTTGATTACTAAGTACACATCAAGGCTGCATAAGGGCAGAGCCAGAGTATGTTTACAGGCTCAGAAATTGTGACAGGGTTACAATTAAGGGAAGACCTAACCACATCGCATTACCCTCATTATATTGCAATGACATTCTCAATTGTGAAACAAAGGTGCAAAACAATGGTTTAATAAGACCTCTTGTTTAATGAGACTTTGCTTTAACTCTTGTGTTCATTCAGTTAGTAAATAGGTCTTCCATTCAGGTCTAGGCACCCTAATTCTCATTTTCCCAAGTGCGACACACCCCACCCCCTGCCATTAGCCTTCAGTGTCCCACATTGGGTCTTGGCATCCCCCTGAACATTCAGAACATACAGACTCCTCCCCCAACCTCCTCAGATTCCCTATTCCCCTTCCCCTCCAACCCCTGTACACACACCCATTTGATTGTGATTGACAGTGTCTTTGTTCCATTGTGCTGAGCTGTCGCCTCTGATGAAGACACATACACAGAGCCGAGGCACTGCACTCATTGTACACTGTGCAGAAACTACAGGTCTGCAACCAGTTGCACTGTCCGTGCATTCAGACTAGGTGTGTGTAAACAGCTTTGTGCATGGAAGGTCATAGCAAAATGTGACAGGGCAGAGTGCGTAGGAAGAATGGCTAGACTGCTTTGGCCATACTGCAGGCCTCACCCACTGTGGACCAGGACCAGGGGGTCCAGGCCTGATAGGCTAAGAGGGCCAGCTGGAGAGGGAGGCTCGGGGCTGCGCAAAATGTGTCTGAGGTTGTCAATAGTTTTCACCCCTCCTCAGGGATGGGAACCAGGTCACATTCTCTCACACGGCACAAAGCCGGGTGTGTGTGTGAGAGGGTTGGGGGTTCAAGGGAGGGGTTTTGATGGGGAGCAGGCCATGACCTCTTTATATCCATCAACAGATCACTATCTTGGCCCATAGACATGGTCTTATAACACATTCACAAACACATTCACATGCATGCAAACACATGCTAATTTTTGTGCATAAGCACAGACAATTTGTCTCACTGACAAAAATTTAAGTGTGTGCTCAAAAATTGGCCTTATGCAGGAGTTTTTGTTTTGACCTGTGTATGAAATTAAAAAATGATTTTTGAACACATTCTCTTATTATATTTTTTTAAACCAGTATTTTCAAAATATCCATAGGGTTTGACCTTAATACATTTATTACTAATAGATCAATTGTTACAAATATAGCTAGTGAAAAATAAGTGTAATGGCCAGTTTCTCAAACTAATTTAATTAAATATTGTCCTACTTGTCTGTCTCAAGTAGATACCAGTTCCTGGACAACTTCAGCTGCTTCTCAGCAGTAGGAAAACACAGGTGAAGTTTCAGTGCACCAGATGTCTCAGTAGACCATACTGGTGAGCCAGAAAGCACAATGTCAGGACCCCAGAACTACTTCAGGCAAATGGAATATTTTGTTGAAAACTGTGCTTTTGTGTGAATAACACTGTAAAAATCAGTGCATGTCCCGTATAATCCACAGGTTGGGAGTCAGGGTAAAACAGTGAAATGCCGCCCCCCTGTGGTGTCGACTGAGTCTGTCAGACAGAGAGCTTTCAAAGTCAAAGTGGTCACGTTTTTTGTTATTTGTGTTCTTAAAAAAACATTCAGAGTAAATCAGAATTCACTTTATTTTTTCCATTAATTTGCTTGGTAAAAGTATCTGATCCAGCCCTTCGTAAAACTTGAAAAAAAAAAAGAAAACCCCAAAACAAACAAACATTCGGTTTATCAAAGATTAGAAATATGATTCAACAGCAGTTATGACCATGAGAACATTATATTAAGGTGAACATAAAATTAAGGGCACTGAAGAACAAAAGATGAAATATTTATATATATATTTATCATATATTCTGACTCTGTCTTATATGTCATTACTCTGATGAGTAATGAAACAATACCTAGGTTGCAACTTATGGTATTGTGATTGTGATATTTATTATCATTTTATGGTTTCTCTCATCATCTTAATTTATTTCTTGTGCTTTGACATCTGTCCATGTGTTTCCATCTTAAGTTCCATCTTTACGTTTTCATTTAACGACATATATATCCAACAACTTACAAAGCAGCTGTTCAGTTCTTGCCATACCACCCAGACTCTGGCATGAGTTCCTCGTCACATTATATATACAATAATCCAATGTGTGTCTTGTTTGTATGTCTGTGTTGTGGTGTATGCATGTTTCTGTGTCAGTACATGAGGTCACCCTACATATAACATCTCCGTGACAAACTTGTGCAGCTGTGCATGTTGTCTTGAGAAGCTTATTGTGGCTCTGTCTTTAAACTAAAAGGTGGCTCTTCTCTCCAGGTTACTTGCTCTAGTCTACCTGCTGTTCAGGAAACCTCCGTTCAACAAACTAGGAGGTTAAAGTTAAGTGACAGAATTACACACTCCATCTTCAGTTAGGTGAGATGGTGCGTCTACGCAGGCAGCTGCACGTCAAACACTTGAGGATGCTCATGGTGATGTGCATGAGAGGGCCGAAGTTGAAGAGTAGATTGTAGAATGTGTTTACAGACAGGCCTCCAGTCTCATCGGCATATTTCAGGGCCACAATGGGTGTGTAGAGGCTGTTGGTCAGATTCCTGAAGCGAGGGTTGTTTGACTCAATAACCTTTTTAGTGCACTGGAAAAGAAAAGAAGCAACAGAACATTTTAACGGCTGCACGCAGAACATCAACACAAATTCCTGAACTGGGTTCAGTGTACTGGTTAGAAACCAATTCTTTTACCTTAGCTATGTCATCTGGTGTTTGGCCCATGGCCTCAAATATATCTATTGATGATGGCAGGTAAACGTCTTTAAAATAACGAACTGTGTCAGCATCCGCACCAGGATACTCCATCTTAGCCACATCCTCCATCATTTTCGTTTCAAATTCAGTGTGCACTGGGCCAGGCTCAATCATGGACAACCTGGGGTAAGTTAGATACAGTGTGATCAGTGGGGATGGTATTTTCAGTAGAAAATAAAGACACATGTGAAGGAAGAATAGAGGAAAGAGGGTAATCTACCTGATATTGAACTTCATCAGTTGCACAGCCAAACTCTCACAGAAGCCCTCCATTGCAAACTTAGAAGCAGTGTAAACATCGTTGAATACCACGCCTGATTAAAGAACAACAAGAGGAGATGAAGAAGCTCAATGCACCGTAAAATGAGATTTCAAAGTACTCAATCAAGAATAGAAATCACTCACTTGATTTACAGATAAAGGACTGGGGTTTAAAAAAAGTAGCAGGCAGGACAACACAAGTGGCAGACATTATGCAAGCTAATTCAGCAGTTTATCAGAAAGCGTCTAACCTGCTTTGCTGGAGGCCACCATTATGCTACTTCAAACAAGTTAAAACAAACACTAAAAATTCTTTGCAAGAACTTGCAGTTTGACTCAAATTACTGTAAGTTGTCAGAGCTCTACTGGAAATGTGAAACAGAGACCAACGAATAATAATATTAATATGATAATGAATTTTAAAAAATCTTTTAAATTACCTAACAGTTTCATCTACTAAATCTACAGATATAACCTCAAACCATAAAGATAAAAATGCTATTAACTTTCCTTTTGGATAAAACAATGTCAGCTCATACCAAGCTAAAATTTTGGAACACGTGCAGTGTTTTGCAAGTCATTATGAGTGATTATGGAGAGTGTTGACTCTTTAATCTTCAAAATGTATATTCAATATGTTCTCTTTTGATATGCAGGAATCCAGTAAGCCTTATACCAACCAAAGTTGCCAGATTTAGAACCTACATGTAGCTTAATAGATTACAATAAACGGTCTATTACACGGTTTATTGTAATTTGTCATTCTCAAAATGTTTTTGACGTTCAGTTAGAATAGCACTACAAATTTTCTTATGCATAACTAATTATACTCATACCCTGAAGACCCATGACGCTGCTCATGACGATAATGTGCCCCGAACGCCTCTTCTTCATGTCTGGCATCACTTCTTTGATCATACGAACCACTCCAAAGAAGTTGGTCTCAAATACTTTTTTCATCTCCTCAATGCTGATGCTTTCCACAGGTCCAAGCAAGCCCACACCTGCATTGTTGACTGGCAGGAAACAGACACACAGATAATGGATTGTCCATAAATGCAATGATCAAAAAACAAAAACAAACAGAAATAGAGCGATATTTGACTTTATTACTTCATTAGACCATTTGTTAGTTAAAGATGGTTTTATGTCTGTGAAGGTTCTCAGTCATCCAGGTCATCGTAGTCAAAGGAGATTGTAAAGAAAAGCGTCTGGACTTCTTTAAGCTGCTTGAAGACGTTTCACCTCTCATCCGAGAAGCTTCTTCAGTTCTAAGGTCAATCTGGGACTCTTTGCCATTTGACCCTAGAACTGAAGAAGCTTCTCGGATGAGAGGTGAAACGTCTTCAAGCAGCTTAAAGAAGTCCAGACGCTTTTCTTTACAAGCTCCTTTGACAAAGCTGGTTTTACTTGATACTGCCACCAGATGTCAGTATGTGACAACAACATGAAGGTCTGACGTAACGCCAGACTGAAGAGCCTTTGGGTCTTGAGTAATTAGGCGAAAGGGGATTTAATGCTGGATTTAGACTAAGATGGAGACAGGTTTATAAATAGATACTTTATCCAGGCTAAAGGTTTAAGGACCATAAGTGAAAAGCGTTACGTATTCAGAAGATCTGGTAAAATGGACATTACTGCACTATAAAATTACTTGGTCACACATTGTGAGATTTTAGTTGTGAGGATTACTGTTCAGAAAAATAAAGTATTGCAGCTGCACAGTGCTGTAAGCTTAGCTTCAGCTAACTCTCTCTCGGGATATTAATGTGGTAGCCCATTCAGTTTTGGTCCATAATCTTTCTGACCACTGGAATTTTAAGACTCAGACTCCTCCCTCCACATACTCTAAGTGTCAACAAGTGCACCTACTGTTTAAAATATTTGTTTCACGAATAATCAAAGCCTTTGTCCTGAACTGTTGTTATAACTTTAGCAATAGCACAGGGCTTACTTTTTATAAATACATGTATATTATTATCATTCTCACTGCATTTTATTTACATATTGTAACCATCTGTACATATTATAGTGTTTTTGCATACATCTCTAATTCACCTTTTCTTCCTGTTTCTTGAGCTGCTGTAAACAGTTGAATTTCCCCAGTGTGATTAAATAAAATCTATGTCTATGATATTATATTTATTGAAATAAAAAAGCAGCTCTCCCCAATAATAGCATAGACTTTATATTGAATACGCAAAACTATAAAATGAAGCAGAACAATAGTGTTCCATCATATGTTAAAAAAATAATTCTGTGTATGAACTCTTGTAAAACACATAATAAAACACCAAACATAGACTTATCCAAGGACAGAGAATCGATCATCGTGACCTGCTTTTTAAAGAGATACACTTTGTGTCCCACTCACTCAGAATATCAATATGGCGGTCCTTAACGTTATTGACGCACTGCCTGACGGACTCATCGCTACACACATCTAATGGAAGCAACGTCAAGGTCTTTCCATATGCGTCTCCAGCTGCCTCCACCAACTTGTCCTTCTTCTTCAGGTCCCGCATCGTGGCAATGACTGATAGGGAGACACAGAGAACTGTATGGAGATAATGTGGCTTCAGACTTTGCAAAAATAAATATGATAGCGGAAAGGTGTCATCTAACACAACTTGAAGCGGCAAAGAAATGTTTAGGAATGTGAGGAGCACTTAAAATTATCAGTATTTGAATAGTTTATTATTTTAAGATATTAATGCATTTACACATTTTTCTGACTATCACTGTTGCATTTAATATGAAAGTATTAATGCAATCATTATATTTTTAATGCTGAAGAAGTGACAGAGGACTCAAGTGACGTTACTAAATTAACGTTTCTTCTTGGACAAACACACCAGTGTAAAAACAAACAAGCACCCACACATGCTCAGATAGTGACACTCAGACGTGTGGGTCAGAGTTCCTGGAAAAGACCACGCCTGTTAGTTTACAGGGGACAGAATTGATTTCCTCTGAACTTTACCCGCTGGGGAACATTAACCTACATAAAGCGGAGGAATCTACCATGACCAACAACAATGAATATAAGCGCCGCTGACTTGGCTTCCACAGCTTCTTCCTTTTTGTGTGTTCTGCTTACACTTGGCAGACTGGCGTTATGTAACTGAGAAAACAGAGGCACTGGTGTTGCACAATGGCAATAGGCAGGAATAAACAACCTCTTATTCAAACATTTACCTAAGTCTACCTGTTGTCATTGGCAGACAAAAGCAAATCCTCACCTTATTCTCATGTGAACAGAGATGAGGTTGGATAAGTAATCAGATTTGGACCGCTTCGCTGTGGAGGCTTGGACTGCTGTGCAGTGTTACTGATGCAACATGATGTATAACAATGTCTATCTATCTAGCTGTCTGTCTGTGTGTCTGTCATATATGCTCTATGCATAAACAACATCTTGTGAAGAGTAATTGGGTCTACTTTAGACCAGGATGTCCAGGAAAGGTTTCAAGGAAGCAACAGAAAGCTTTGCGTTTTGAAAAAGACATGAACAAGAGGTCCATTGTTCTAAATGCTCCTGAAGGAATTACAACTGGGCAGCTTAACTATTCTTGAATGAACCACACTGCAAACACAGGGGTATTTTAAGGCCTTCTCTGAATTTCATCCATGTCACTGCAACTAATTCCTACTTAGTGCACAACGCAATATTTAATCTCAGTTGGATTTCCTAAGGAATAGAGCAGATCAATGCAATCGCCAAGATGTGGCCTTATTGAAAGCAGGTCACACTGTTCAAACCAAACCAGTGTTGGGAGGGAGGGAGGTTTTGTTTTCCTCATCTATTTCGCAGTAATAAATCCCATCATATCCCAGTGGCCCCTAACAAGAGACAGAGAAAAAAACAAAACAAAAAAAACAAACAAGGTTTACCATGTTAATAATGACAATTCTAACTGTCCATAACCTGTCAAAGTAAGCAAGGGCTGACTGTAGCTTTATGGCAAATTATACAGTTTAGAGTCATAGCTAAAAACAAAATCTGGTCACAAGGCTCTTGGTACAAACCCCTCTAACATAATTCTGTCTGAGGCTCCACAGATTGACACAGGAGGATTTTTTGATTCAGTTCTAATTCCTCCAGTGACATCAATAATAGCTGGGAAGCAGGAGAGGACCAACAGTGTCAAAGTGTGAAACCTTAACTCCACTGCCTACCAATGAAGACTTCAAACAAGGCCCTTGCTTTAGAGTGAACCCTCGCTTGTACAGGTCTCAAACTTTGTCCCCCTTTCAACACTCGCTCCAGTGAGGGGACTATGGGCACATTAGACACGGCACTAAACCGGAGCAGGCGGTCTACAATTCACTGCAATAAAAGGGGGCTTTGTGCTGGAGAAGTCACTTGAAAGAGAACTGACAAGACCTCTTTTATGAATCCTGCCTGGCAAGCGGCATCCTTGCAGAGCCCTACCCTGGAAACTGCGCTTTCAGATGATAATAGTCGAGTCAAAGGGGCGACCGAATCCCAGTCCTTACAAAGGGATATGGATCCGATATTACAGGGGTTAGCATTTTAATTTAACCCACGCTAGATCACGTATGAGCGTTTAGACGGAGCGTTGCGCATGAAACTTGATCAAACTTTATGCGTAAAGGAAGCTTGCAGCGTGTTGCAGGGGAAAATAAGCACGAAATTGTATTTCAAGCGAACCACAATATTACAGGCTTGTTACAAACAGGACCGATCAAACAAACAATGTAGAAGAAAGCGCATTTACCATGGTAACGACTCTTTTCATCTTTGGCCAGGATGACGGCAATTCGTAACCCGATGCCGGAGGAGCAGCCGGTGATCAGCACAACTTTCTGCCCACTGTTCGCCATGATTTGTCCGTATACGCGCAGTGTTTTTCAGGGGTCTTCTGCTCCAGATGGTCCCAGCCGAGGGAGCTGCCGATAACCGAACTTTAAAAAACTAAAGCCGATCATGCAGCCACAGCAGCCATGTGAGCGCCTAATTCAGTCACATGTTTCATAAAAATCAGTAAACACCCCCCCTCAAAAAAAGACGTGATACCGCAAACACCCCTCGCAGTTACTTGATAGGTGCCGACTGCCCTAGAAAAAGTAGCCTAGTTAATTTCCTTAAAAATGTGTGGACGTGCACGCGCGTGCGTAGAGGGGGCAGTGCTTATTTGATTTCTGAGTTGGTGACCCCAGCAACTGTAACAGTAATCATGGAGTTAATCGTCACAATGCTCCAGATAAAACCTTGATCAGGGCTTTTTCAGTAAGTTGCCTATCCTATGATTCAACACTGTAATGCGTTAATTTAATTAGAATCTACTTAGCATAAACGAAAAATAAGCTAAAGCACACTATTTAAACGGGCTTTTAAAATAACAGGTCCACATATAGCTGCACACACAGACACACGGAGAAACACACACACATATACTCGCCAGCTTTAGGTTATTTATAAAACATTCCAACCTTTGCTGAAATTTAGTGTAAAGGTATTTACTTAATGCTCTGCATTCCACTGACACCTAGTGGTAAGGTAGGCGCAGCGCACTGAAATAGCACTGAGGCTTTCTGAACTCATCGTGCCCCCACAAAATAACATAAACAATGTTAACTGCGATATTGTTGTCCATTCAGGTAATAAGGCTATTAAAAACATGGGAAGAATATTCAGAGTTTGTTTTTTAGCAGTGCTGTTACCAAATGGCTGTTATGTTGACCAGTGGACTCTGTTCTTGGTTCATGTTGTGAGAGGGTCAAAGGTGCTCTGATAAGACCTCAAATGAAACTTGCTTCTTTTTTTTCTAATGAAATACTGTAGTGCAGTACTCAGCGTCTGTCATGTTTGGGCCTGTTGCTAAATGTGATGCAAGCACGTGCAAACTGTTACACTGAAAAAGGAATGATTCTCACACAATGGTAGAAGAGTAAACATTTATGCTTTTTGATCAAAGTTTTGACTGGTTGTTTAGGAAGATGGTGTATGATTGGGGAAGAGTGCAGGCATAACATTAGTGAATTAGTATTTGTAATACGTCTGTTCAGAGGTTAATGTCGTTTTGTTTGGTTGATTAGTTAAGTGCCATTATTTGATGTCAGCTGCATTTGTTAATGTCAAGAAAGATTTGTCAGCTGTGATAGTCAGAAGAAGAGATGCTGAGAAATGGTCATGTGGTGTCATTCTGTGCTGCTTTATATGGTCTGACATATATGGTGGATGCTTCTAGCCCTTGCTCTAAAGAGTAATCTAAGGTAATTATCCATCCATCCATTCTCTTCTGCTTATCCATATCAGGATCGCGGGGGCTGGAGCCTATTTTAAAGTGACTAATAAGTGAATAAGCTATTGAAAGTAATCAGTATTTCACATACTTCCACTTACAATTCTTATGGTTACATTTCCCTTTTACAAAAGTCTTTGCATTTATTTAACTACTATGTGGACCTGGATGGTGTAAACTTGTAGCTGCCTGTAGCTGCTTGTTTCCCCTGTATTGCTGGTTCAGCTAAGAAATAGAATTAGCATTTTTCCATTAACAACAATTATTAAATACATGAAAACATGACATTAGGGATTGCTACTGTATTTAAATAAATCAAATAAGAACCTTAATTCAACATGATAATTAAGGCCTTTTGGCACCTATTGGCACTCAGTAGCATTTTTTTTTGGTTTAGTCCCTACAAGATTCGCACTGCTGAAATAGAACAATTTACCCATTTTTACACAATTTTACACTTTTTTTTGGTAAATTCTGTCAAAGTTAATCTGACTGATTCAAAAGCAGCTGTGAAGTGCCATGTTTTCTTTTAGCTCTCTAATCACCCTGTTCCCACTGCTGCAAAGCACACCACAGCTTGATGTTTTCACCACCACACTTCAACAACAGATGATATTAGATAATGATGTGCAGTGCCTGGTTTTAAGCAAATATAATGTTTCGAGGTCTGCTCAGATCAACATTTCACTCACTGGACAAAAGAAATGTCATCTGTGTCATCTGTCAAATGCTTTTAAATGCTGTTTTGGAAATATACCTTGAGGCCTTCTGCTCAGGGACTGTTCAACCGTAAAGGCCAGACTGGTTAAATTCAGCTAACCTTGTTGAGGTGCTGGCATGTTCTTCCAGGTCCTGAAGCTCTTTGAGAGTGATTGTTGCGTTCTTGTTCTGGGTCTTGGTCACCTCCCAGTTTGCTCTTTTACTCAATACAGCAGGACAACTAGTAGCTTCAAACTTCATCCATTACTGAGGCTACTGCGCTATAAACAAGTTTATAAGCTTCTGAATTCCTGGTTTTATTTGCTTTACCCTGATCTAGTAATTTCTTTCTAAATTATTTAGTTTGAAACAGGTTGGGCTCCAGTAAAGCTGTATATACATCATGAGGATATTTAAAGCAAACAAGATGCACCTGACTACAGACCAGAGTGCCACAGCAAAAAGTATAAAAACATCTACATATGAGAGATTTTCTTTTTTTTCTCTTTAATAAATTTCTTATCCTTTCTATAAACAAAATTGCACTATTATCATGAGTTCATAAGAGTACATTGGGGTAAATGCCAATTTTATTCATTTAAAATGGTAGTGGAAGGGCTCTGAATGCTTTCTGTGACTGTTTTATTCAAAATTAGAACACACACTACAAAAGTGATTGTCATGGACTTCTAGTCATCACTGCTTGTGATAAAGACCATATTTTGCTGACAACACAGAGCAGACTTTCAGCCTACACTGACTGAGGCCCAATTTTTTTTCTTGCTGTCTCACAAAGCTAATGACAGCTTATTTAAAACCTGACTGTCACAGTGAAAACAGAAATTAAAATTAGAACATTAAAGTAACAGAATTTGCATTGTCAGATAAACCAGACTTTTACAACAGCAGGTGTTTCAGTGTAAATTAAGCTTATATACTTGGTTATACTCAATCATTTGGCTTACTGATATTTAAGTGCCAGAACAGATCAGTAAAACCATAAGCAACCAAAAGTAGTAATATAAGAAAAAATGCATATGGTTCTGCAAAATAAGAAAAAAACTGTGCAATTATTTGCAACAAATTAATGACCTTTTATATTATTTATGGCCCATTGAGGCCTGAGCATATATATAATATATAAAAGTGAATAAAACATCACTCAGACCTTAGGAGAAACTAGTCTTAAAGCAAGAGCCGTCTTCACAAAAGTAAGTCACCACATAGGCTACTCATTAAAATACATGGACTTTCCAAAATGTATTATTTTTATGTCACAAATCAAATTCAATGAAGCATATATATGGTTCCTTGTCTGTTTATGATATATATAAATATGTATATAAAAACTACCTGCAGAAACTACAGGAAAATAAATACATATAAGTTTAAAGGAACATTTATTTATGAACATTTTCCTTGATTCACTCTCATAAATATAACACGCAGATCTAAATGCAAAGTGCAAAAACATTTATACTTTTCTTTAAAGCTTTAAGTTAGTTCACTGAACTGAGCACACACATATAGCCTAATACAGCCTGAGCTATTCTATGACATAGCACTTGATGGGATGGCTTCAATAAAAGAGCCAGGTAGACAGCTGCAAAAAAAAATTAAGGGGATTTTTGGGTCAGTGTCCAGCCAAATTTAAAAGAAAACAGTGAAGTGTAGATCTTCTTACAACCAAAATATATTAAGATCGAAATTGTAAATACATAACGAGAACTAAAAAATAGCATTATAACTACTGGTGGTACCCCTTATTGTCTTTTTATACATAATTAAATCAAGGTGAAATTAGTTACAAATAGTGAATTATAAAACAAATAGGTCTTATTAAGAAGTGATAAGACCTAAAGAAAAATAAACACCAATATATGCAACATAATTAGGATTTCTTTTTAATTAAACAGATGATAAAGTCATAAAACATACAAAATAACATACTCCACTATTTCTTGCTTGAAAATATCTATCAATAGGTTACATTTTGCATTGGATCCCTGCATAGTGATACACGAAGTTGTGGCAACATTTAAAACACTATTGACTACTACCGTTCTACATTCATAATATGTTTTTTGTTCTTTTATTTTTTACAAAAAAACATTGCCTTCTAGATACATCTGCTGCGCATCTAAAAACTCTACCATCAGTTATGCTAGTTTTAGGTCAACGGGGCCTACGATTGAATTTTTCTGCCACAAATTTCCTTAATTTATATAAATTGCTTTCCTTTATATAAATCCAACACAAACAACATCTATCTCAACATTAACTATATGATACGTATATGATGGTTTTCATCAAGTTACCGCAGTCTGATAATAGGTAGGGGTATTGGGAGTAAAACCCAAATTTTAGCCCATTATTGATGGTTGGAGGCAAGAATATCACCATTTGTCAAAAAATTTTTGCTAATCCATTTGGCCATTTGACCAATTTTGCTGTGCATTTAAGTTAACAAAAGTGGTTCCTCACCAATTAAACTGTCGTTAAAGGTGGTTGTTAGGGGGAAAAAGTGTCCCACATCTGTTAAAATCATTTGTCTATATTTTTTATTTGTTATTTTTTTTATGGAGTCAGTTGTGCTCCTCTGAGAGAGCCCAGATGATCATCTGTCACTGGATAAAAGAAGATCTGTACTAGAAAAATTAATGTAAATGTAAATTGCTGGAGTAATGCCTGGATATTCCTCGCATGCTTTTTCTTATGCCTGCAGGTGTAGATGCAGAAAAGGAGGTGTACTGGACAGTCAGTGATGTCCGTCAGCCTCTGAGCTATTTGTGTGGAATGTCAGAGGATTGAGGTGCTAAGACAAAGAAGGAATTAGGAGAGACAAAGGGGAAGGTATAATGCAAGCCCATGCGTGCATTTCCATGCCATAGGCTTTCTCTGCTTTAAATGCCGTGTTGTAAACCCTCCTCCTCATTTAACCTCAAATGTTCTCCTCTCCACCTTCTCTTCTGCACATCTATACTTGTATGCCTGCAGCATCAAATCCTCATTTCAAGCAGAATGGTTTTCATTATACTTGCTGAGAACTTTTCACCTCAGTCAGACACCTCTGAGCACAGCTGTGCCCTAAAGACCCAAATCATCTCTAACCCCATTGCCAAAGTCCAAGTCAT